AATACAATATTCAGAATTCTGGATTACATGATGTAGCTCTTCTCTGGTTTATATTTCCTTAATCAGTATATCTAAGCTGATTTTATATTTTAAATTATACTCTTAAGCCTTCATAAAGTAATCATTTCAGATTACTACATATTTAACTCACTAAAACAAATACATTATTATAAATTATATCAGTCAGAGTGGTTCAGTGTGTTCAAAACAAAGTTCATTGCTTTTAGAAAAAGGGAACACTAATTTTTGTGTGATCTCACTATCAATAGACATGTTTTTGAAATTTCACCAGGTGTTTATGTTAACATATGTTTCCAAAGATTTGGGCATAACAATGGATTTTATAACGTACTAAAGTTTTGGTGGAGAGCTCTGCTAAAACCATTTCATCAAATAGTCAGAAGTAAAGAAAGAGAAATTCATTTTTCCATCTATCTGGAAGAAAAGGGATGCTGTCCCTTTAAGGACTCTCTTCAACGGGGAGGGAGAAGGGAGGAGAAAGATCACAAGAGGCAGAGGCTGAAATGATAAGAAGACTTTGGAAGCAAGCTTTTGTACTATGGTAAAAGTTTAAGTTTGTATTTTAGATAAAGGTGGTCTTTTGAAGACTTTATTTTTAAAAACTGCATGTCTGAAGCTCCAAATATACAAGGCTAAAGCTGAATACTCAGATTGTGTATGTAAAAATCCATGAAAGGATTTTAGAGATGTGTTTTTATAATCTTCAGCGACAAACTAATGAAATATTTAAAGCCAATTTTAAACTAAAGTTCTGTAGACACATTGATGTAATGCACAACTCTTTTTGTCAGTAAATTCAGAAAGTGACTGCATACGCTGTCAGAATAGGGATAGGATGAGAGGAGAAGTTGAGCACTAAGACCCAGGGCAGTCACTGCCTCCCCTTACCTCTTATACTACTGCCCATGCACAGCAGCTCTGTCTGTGGATCCATCATAGTTCCCCACAACTGTTGTTCAATTTAACTTTTTTTCATTGTGGTGCTTGTATCTTTAGTGCTCATTTATGTCGGGACTTCTGCACGTCTTCTTGTGCCAGCAACCAAACAAAAGCAAAAAGCTTTATTTCCACAGGGCTAAATTGTCCTAGCTTCTGCTCAGCCATGCTAGGGCATAAGGGGGAGTCAAGTCCCTAGAATCCTTGCTCACAGTATGACTGTTGGGAGGATAGCGGGTGCGTTGTTAGCAAGGGGGAACAGAGTGTGAGTGGACTTGTTTCTATCCCCCCTATAAGTGCTGCCCAGAGTGGTTGACTGGGGACAGAGGGAGGTGTAAAGTGCTCCAAAAAAAGAAGTGAAACTTTCCCATGTGCCAGGAGCTGGGAAAGAATCTTTGACTCTCCGAGCTACATTTAGTAGTCCTGTCTGCTACTGGAGCAGTGCAGGGTGTGAGTTTTCAGTAGGTAGCAGTGTTTATCTGTGTTTCACAAGAGCTGAGAGGACATTAATGCTGTGAAACAATACATTCAGAACAATAAAACCATGAGCATTGTTTTCCTGATCATTGGCATTTGGAGCTCTTTCCAGTGCTTTACCTTTAAAAAGCCTGCCAGTTCCCATGCTGTGCTCATAGAGCTCATGGATCTGGTATGTATGACAATCTCTGAAGTTGTGTATTTTGTTTTCACTAGAAAATACATATTTGGACATGCTTCGTGGGGGATTCCCTAGGCTGTGAATGGGCTCTACACAGAGATGCAGACTGTTTCAGATCCCACAAACTAAATATGAGTCAACAGTGTGACAGTGTTGCAAAAAAGTAAACATCATTCTGGGATGTGTTAGCAAGAACGTTGTAAGCAAGACAAGAGAAGTAATTCTTCTGCTTTACTCAGCACTGATTAGGGCTGAACAAGTATATTGTGTCCAGTTCTGGGTGACGCATTTCATAAAGATGTGGACAAATTAGAAACAGTCCAGAGAAGAGCAACAAAAATTATTAATGATTTAGAAAATATGATCTATGGGGCAAGATTGAAAAAAACTGAGTTTGATTAGTCTGGGAAAGAGAAGACTGAGAGGTGGTATGGTAACAGTTTTCAAGAACCTAAAATATTGTTACAAGGAGGAGGGAATAAAAATTGTTCTCCTGAACCTCTGAAGATAAGACAAGAAGCAATGGGCTCAAATTGCAGCAAGGGAGGTTTAGGTTGGACTTTAGGAAAACTTCCTAACTATCATGGTGGTTAAGCATTGGAATAAATTGCCTAGGGAGGTTGTGGAATCTCCATCATTGGAGATTTTTAAGAGCAGGTTAGACAAACACCTGTCAGGGATGGTTTAGATGGTGTATTGTGCTGCCTTGAATACAGGGGACTGGATTAGATGACCTGTCAAGCAGTGTTCCATCTAATTTTTTCCATCAATGTGCAGAATAAACGTTGTTATGTCCACCAAAGTATGTGCAGATGTGCATCACCAATAGAAACACATGCTGCCTGCTGAGGGTGCTGTGCTAAATAGCTGGGTAGCATTTGATTCTGTCCTGGGTGGCTGCCTAAATGCTCATCTTACAGGGAACACTGCTCTCGAGGTCTCTTCCAGAGTCCTATGATTCTGTGAAGCATCCAGATCTGAAAAGAAGGTGATATACAATACAACTGACATACAGCCCAGTGAATAAATGTGAATTTATGGGCAATGTCATTTTAAGTAATAAAAGTAAAAGCTGTGTTATCTGGTACTTTCCTATCCAGAAAGCTCTATAAACCTGCATTTCTAATCTTCAAAAGAACACAAGAACATAAAAATGACCATACGAGATCAGACCAAAGGTCCATCTAGCTCAGGATCCTGTCTTCTGACATTGGCCAATGCCAGATGCCCCAGAGGGACAGAACAGAACAGGTAATCATGAAGTGATCCTTCTCCTGTCATCCATTACCAGCCCCTGACAAACAGAGGCTAGGGACACCATTCCTATCCATTCTGGCTAATAAATATTGATGAACCTCACTTCCCTGCATTTATCTAGTGGTTTTTTTGGAACCCTGTTAAAGTCCTGGTCTTCACAACTTCCTCTGGCAAGGAGTTCCACAGCTGACTGTGCTGCATGAAGAAAAACTTCCTTTAAACCTGATACCTATTAGGTACTCATAGAAAGTACAGTTTATAGTCCAGTTGTCATGGAGCTAGCAGGCTCCCTGCCTGCTCCACATGGATCCCTGGAACCAGCAACATATACTTGCTACTCCTACGTGGAGCATGAGGAGTTCAGAGTGTAGGGTGTGGGCTCTGGCAGGAAGTTTGTGTGCAGGAAAGAATAGGGTATTTGGGCACGGGAGGGGGCTCAGAGTGCCAGATCTGGGGGACAGGGTGTGCTCACATGAGGTGGCTTCCCACAAGTAGTGACCTGTCCCTCCTGCTCCTGGCAGCAGTGTTTGGCTAGAAAGCTCTGTGTGCAGTCTTGCCTCATCCTGATCCCAAAAGGAGCTGCAGAGCTTGATGCAGGGCTAGCACGTGAGCCGCCGGCAACTCTGCCTAGGAACAGCAGAGATAGGTTGTTGCTTGCAAGGAACTGCCTGAGGTGAGCATTTTCTGGATCTGGCACCCTGAAATTCCTCCCATGTCTCCACCCCTTGCCCTGAGCCCTGTCCTCTACCCAAACTTCCTCTCAGTGACTGTGCCCCACACAGTTTCCTGGGCCCCAATCCCTGCAACCCTCCCACACCCAAACTCCCTCCCTCTTAGTTAATTGGAATTTTTCACTTACTGGCACACTCCATTCCTCCAACATGCTAGATAGAAAGCTTTTACTGTATTGCCAAATTTGGAAGGTAGCTCAAGGAAAACAATTAACTTTGTACTGCCTTTTATGTTTGAAGGTTTACATAATACATACTTTTGCTGGATTTCATATTGTACGATGTTTAGCCAATGTTAATGGCTTTTTTTAATTTAATCCTTAGATCTGTGTGTGTTTATGATGAACACACCTATTACAGCCAATGGCTGCAGAAGTATTCACTAACTTTGTGTGCATCTATATTGAGCTGTCAAGTAGAGACACCTTGGGTGCAATCCTAGCTTTGCTGAAGTCAGTAGCAAAACTCTGTGGTTTCAATGGGGCTGGGATTTTACGCTTGGTGTCTGATTGTTAGAGGTGCTGAGGAGAGAATCCTCAGCATCTCTGGAACAGTGATGTCTCCCAGGGGAGTCTCCACCTGAGAACTAACGAGCTGAGGCCCATAAAGTTAGTGAAAGCTTCTGAAAAGTTGGCTTGGGTTTTCTCACAAAGTAGCCAGAGAGACTGACTGGGTCACTCCTGGCTCTAAATTGGAGCAATCAGCTGCAAGCCCTGTGGACTTGTGGGATTGAATAAGCACACTCACTCCTGGCAACTGAGAGTAGACGGACACAGCCTTGTTATTGACTCCATCAATCCAAGCCACCAACTATGAGGCCATTTTTGTGAGGGGAACAAACATCACAGCTCTCCATGGGTATGTCTACACTACAGAGTTGGTTTTTTTTTTTTTCAGAAAAATAGCCGCTTTTCCGAAAAAGCTTCACTTACGTCCATGCTGCAATCACATTCTTTTGAAAAAAAATCGAAAGAACAGAGGGTTTTCTGACATTGGTAAACCTCTTTCTACGAGGAAGAAGCCTTTTTCCAAAAGGTACACCTGGTCATGTCCAGCCTGATTCTGGCCTGCATATTTATACCTTCCTCTGGAAATTTCCAGTACATGCATCTGACGAAGTGGGTCTTTGCCCACGAAAGCTTATACTCCAACACTTTGGTTAGTCTATAAGGTGCCACAGGACTCCTCGCCGCTTTTTCCAAAAGAGCTCTTCGGGGAAAAGGCATGTGTGGATGGGGGAGAGGGAGTTCTTTCAATAGAAGAGGAAAGAGGAAAAAGCACAGGTGCCCTGGTGGCCACTCCGTCCATAGTAATCACAGCTTAAATGCGAGATAGTGTCCATTCAGTGCGGACGCTATCTTTCCAAAAAGCAGATCGCTTTTTCGATGCGCTTTGGCAGTGTGGAACCTCTCTTTCGGAAGAAGGTTTTTTGGAAGATCTCTTCTGGAAAAGCTTCTTCCGAAAGAAGCCTGCAGTCTAGACATAGCCCTTGACTAACAAGGGGAGCTGTGGAACAGAGAGTCAGTACCCAAAAAGGGTATTTGTCCTGTCAGAAAGGAGCTCATTTGAATGAGTTCCCTGACGTCCAGCTTGGCCTGCACTTCAGATATGTATCAAATCAAATCTTTCTATGCCTAAAGTATCATAGAATCATAGAAGATTAGAATTGAAAGAGTCCTCAGGAGATCATTTAGTCCCACTCCCTGCTCACACAACCCCAACTAAAGGTAGGGCAATGTTTAGCCATGGCTATTTAGGAAGCCTTTCAGGGAATACATGTTCTGAGCAGTTGCATAGTCAGGATCAAAGACAAGATTTATGATTACCACAATGTTATTAGAAATCTTGATGTCTGCGTGTATATCTCAGTCACCTATTTTGTAACCTGCATATATTTATTGTATTTTTAAAAATATTTCATTCAATTATCATTGGCTGTAAGAGGCATCATAGGACACAATAATGTGTTTTTGTAACAGTAGAATTTAAAAGCCCCAAACCAGACACTTGGTTACTATTCATGATAAGACATATTGTACATTCAGAAAACAACATGGCCAGGAGAACACACGCATCCTTCCTCTAGGAAGCCTGCGGTCACATTCTGCCTCTGCTAGTTTTCTCATACAGGAGCGAGCAACAAGCAAAGGCTTGTCTATTTGGTTTGTCTAATTAATTTCCTTGCTCATTTTGGGAAAAAAAACCAGATAAATTCAAACCTGAGTTTCTTTTCTCAAGAACATTTATCTTCTCTTAATATTACTAGATTTCAAATGGCCATGAGATTTGTCAACTCCATTTCTCAAGCAGAATAATTCATCTGAAATATTGATTGACTTAGGAAACAATTATTTTGCACTTTCTTCTAAATTATTTGCATAAAAATAATGTTACATAATTGCAGAGTAATAGACCAAAGCACTGAAGGATCACTACTGAAAGTTGTATCATGACTACAGTATTTTTCTTTACCGGGATAGTTCTATATGATAAACACAAATGCATCTATAACTGTTGTTATGCAAGGAGAAACTCCTAGGAAGTGCTTTTTCCAAGAGAGCATATCTTTAGGTTTATATAGATATCTGCTTACCTTCGTCAAAACATGTAAAGTGTAAGCATAAAACGGTCTGGAGTAAACAAAAACAGGCAAAACATAGTCTTTTCTAGCAATTGAGGCAATACGTATTGCTTCCTTAACTCGGTAGTGAACAAACTTCAGAGCATTTGGACTTGACTTCAATATGTAGTCCAAGTATATGGAAGGATAAAGAGCAGTACTTTCTTTCCACAGCCAAAGCAGGAGATCATTGCGGGAAGATTCAATGGCTGGGCATTTACCTGTGTATGCTTTAGGTTGGTCTTTGTAATCATAATTGTAGCAGTCTGGGTAAAGATAGTAACCCCACAGTCCATTCGGTCTCATGTGCCGAGCCAGAAGGATAGTGTTGTTCATAAAATTCTTGCCAGCATTTTCAAATTCTTCCTTAGCAACTTTTCTAATTTTGTCTTCTGACCACTGAGGATGGCGTCTCTTAACCAGTTCGAAAGACTTATTTCTATAAATGGTTTTATTGCCCCAGTTCCTGTCCCACTGGGGCCTCCAGTTTTCCCAGTCAATGACTGCAAGTCCTTGGAATTTCTTCATGGGTATGGAATGGTCAATATCAGACTTAGCTTTGTTAAGGTGCTTTATCAGACTCTCATTCTGTGGCACCCCTCCATTAACAGGGACCCCATTGTCTAAGTAATAGGGATAATGTCCCAAATGAGTGTGATAAAAAATTGTCACATTGGAGCCACTCAAAGATTCATTGATGTTTGAAGCAATGTCAAAAACACTGAGATCTAGATCCACATTGTAGCGCAGCCTGCACTGTTCCGTAGGGGCATTCCAAACAACAAGGAAAGGTTTGTGGAGTAGCAGTGGGGCTTGGGCCTGCTTGAGCATTTGACCATCAACCATAATAAACAGCGCTGTGACTGCTATCCATTGACTCCACAGAGAGCACATGGTATTCTGTTTTTGCTGACTCTAACGTGATGCTTTCCTTGAAAACAAAATAAAAAAGAGACTTTAAAAAACAATGTTCACAGCAAGGACATCTGTGTGCCAAAGAAATGGTTTACTGTGAGTATCTTTAACCACAACAGTCCATATGGACAGAGACAAAACTATAACCAGGATAAAAGTAAGTCAGTGCTGAAACGCTTTCAAGGATGGAGCATGTATGTGGGGAGACTATTCTACAGATCGATAGAGCTCACTATCAGGTTTCCAATATTCAGCCTTTTCTTGATTTCCATTCTGTCAAGACACTTTCCCCTTTTCATTAAAATTCCTCTGAAAGACTCACTGCTTTCATAAAGAAACAAAAATTGAGTTAATATAATAATATTAGAATGATTTTTGAACAAAAGCATCATAGTTATTCAGTATTTCAGTTTCTGTGTACTCACCCTCTGTTTTACATAGGATGTAACCTTTTGAGGTCTAAAATTGTCTTTTGGCATTTCTAGAGCTCACAACAATACAAAGAGTGCAATCTATATAGTGTAACAATAATTATTATAATCAAAGCTTCTTACTGCCAGGACTTCGTGAATTTGTATATCAATTCAGCATGAGCACATTTTGAGTAGATTTTTCACTATTTCCACTCGCTTTTTCACTCCCTTCTGGCCTTTTTCCCAAAGGAAACAAGTTAATTTTTCACACCAAACTGGACCCTCTCCAAAAAATTGACTCTGGATGTTTTTGTTGACAAATTAAAAATGTCACTGAAAACTAAAATGGTTTTGTTTCTTTCAGAGAATATTTTAATTTTTGTTTCAACTATAGCCAGATTCATCCTGTATTTCCTATAGCTCTGTTGCTTTATAATATTCTGATACTATGATTTCTCTTTCTTACTTCATCCACAGACTTTTGGCTCCATGTCAGTTTAACAGATAAAGTATGACGGAAGTGTCTTTATGACTTAAAACCAAGACAGCTCAGATATGCGCTCAGAAAAGAATAAGGCCCATGTTTTATTATTATCTATTGCTGTACAAAATCATCATTTTTCTAAAGGAATGGGTGGAAGAGTTCTAAGCACATCAGAAAGATGACATTATGAATGACTCTGGAAAGTGTAAAGACTAGTTGTTATACTGAATATAATTTTACTTAAGCTAAAGAGGATTAATTGTGTTAAACTCAGCAAATCATCCATGAATTTGTCAAGTACTTATGAAAATGGGGAACTGATTTTTGGTTAAAATGTTGGCAGAAGTGAGTGAAAATTGTGAGACTAGATCTGCCATCAGGATGCAAGTGCTCCCTCCCCAAATACCCACAAAGTACACTGAAGTAGAAGGATATCCCATTTTTACATTGGGAAAATGTTGCATCTTGAAAATGACATATCTGAGACTGGAACTACATTTAGACTGCAGGCTTCTTCCAGAAGAAGCTTTACCATAAGAGATCTTCCAAAAAAACATCTTCCAAAAGAGAGCATCCATCGATGCCAAAGTGCATCGAAAAAGCGATTTGCTTTTTCGAAAGAGAGCATCCACACTCAGTGGACTCCATTTCACATGTAAGCTGTGATTACTATGGATGGAGTGACCACCAGGGCACCTGTGCTTTTTCCTCTTTCCTCTTCTATCAAAAGAACTCCCTCTCCCCCATCCACACATGCCTTTTTCCGAAAGAGCCATTTTGGAAAAAGGCTTCTTCCGATTAGAAAGAGGTTTACCAATGTCAGAAAAAACCCTCTGTTCTTTCCATTTTTTTTTCAAAGGAAAAATTGCAGTGTGGACGTAAGTGAAGTTTTTTTTGGAAAAGCTGCTGTTTTTCTGAAAAAAACAAAAACAAAACTCTTTAGTGTAGACATAGCCTGGGACTCACCTAGTCTTCTGTGCCTCCCTTCCATTCCATCCTCTAACTTCTGGTATGGTGTCTCTGTGCAAGCCTGCCAGCACCCAGCCAGCAGACCCTACACCTGGCACGGCTCGG